TGCATCCACCTGCCCCTCCTGCGTGGCCAGCCCTGCTGTGTGGCCCCCGGCGCACTCATCTCAAACAAAATCAGACTTCCTCCCCCATCCCCACACCTGCCTCAAGGGGCCTCCCGGGAACACTTTGGGTCCTTAGTTTGCAAACCCCCAGCTCACAGACCTAGCAGAGGCCTGGGTTCAAATCCTGGCCCCATGCCTGGCAGCTGTGTGCCAGGGGGGCATCACCCACCCTTCATCTTGAAGGGACTTGCCCAGAACACGGGGTGAGGGTGCTCAGGAAAGGCTCGAGGCATGGCCCTTTGAGACCCTCACACAGGCAGGTTCCTTGGCAGGTAGGGGGCCCCCCCACAGATGGAGGCCAAGCCTTCCCACTCTTGCCCGGGCCCTGTGGACTCCCTCTGCAGCCGCTCAGCTTATCCCGTGATACTTGCTGGGGCAGCAGACAGACAGCCAGAGTCTCCCCAAGTGCCCTCTGTGGGCCCTAGATCAGAGCCTTCTTGCCAGAATCCTGCTTTGGTTCCTGATTTCGGGGTCAATAACGTCAGGACTGATTTCATTCAGGCTTTTCTCAGAAGCAAACCCGGGTTCTGGCCTCCATCTTGAGTCCTGGGCAAGGCTGGAAGTTACGATAGGAGAAGGAGGGTGCAGAGGGGGCAGGGGGGAGGTAGGGGCAGCCCAGGAGAGGCAAAGACTGGTTTTCCCAGGCTTGTGATTGCCTTGAGCTGGAGGGTCAGTTAGGATCGCAAAGTCCCCTGTGGCCACAGGGGAGGGCACAGCAGTGGTCTGTCAGCACTCTCACTTCCTGGCTGTGTAACCCGGGGCCAGTCACCCAGCCCCTCAGGGCCCCAGTTTCCCCAACTGTAAAATGGGGAACCAGTAAGGAGCGAACGCATGCATCGTGCTCCCTGTGTGCCTGGCTCCGCTGGAAGGGCTCCTCTCGGCTACAAAGCTGGGAGGCAAGTGTGTTTGTTGTACACAGATCACACGGCTGTGGGGAGGAGTGAGGGACAGCGCTCCTGGCAGGTGCCCTGAACAGTGCCTGGCGAAGAGCAAGCCCTCAGGAGGTCCTGGCTCTCATTATTACATGGCAGTGTGAGTTCCAAAGAGCCAGTCTGTTTAGCCAAACCTCCGGGGGCAGGTGGCGTCAGGCAACCACTACTGAACACCTACTGTGTGCCAGGCCCAGAAATGCAACTCCAAATAAGGCAGCTCGGGCCTGGAGCTCAGAGATGCCGGCTGAGGCCTCCACTTCCCTTTTGCTGCCTTGTTGGAGCCAGGAGTCCTGGCCAAGGGCAGAGAAAGGACTCATTGGGAAGGGTGGTGAGGCCTGGCTGTCAGGCATGCCTGTGGGGGGTTATCTGGTTTCCAGGCTCATCTGAGTGCGCCCACCAATTGGTTGTGTCCATGTGGCAGTGTGAATCCCCTCACTGACTCTTTCACTCAGTCATCAAATACTCCCCAACAGACCTCTGCCCCTGGCATTACAGTGTGGCCATTAAGACCCTGGGTCAAGAGCTTAGCTTCACTCGCCAGCTGTGTGACCTTGGACACATCTCCTAACTTCTCTGTGTCTCGACTCATCATCTAAAGTGGGGATAATGGCAGTGTGCACTTTGTAAAGCCACGCCTGGCATATAGTCAGCTCTGTTTGTGTTCCGCGATTATTGTCTGTTGGGGATACTGAGGTGCTCCCACTTCAGTGGGGGGTGGTGACAGACGGTAGAGACTGAAAGGGGGGGAGGGCAAGGATGGACACTGGCCAGGGCAGGACCAGCCCTGCCCAAGGAAGTCAGGCAGGCTCTCCCGAGGGGCCAAGTGGGCCGTGGGAGTTGAGCTGGGAGGGGGGCAGCAGCAGGTGCCTGTGTGGATGGGGAGGGCAGGTGAGGGAGACCCTGAGATGCGGGGACTTGGCTCCAATACACAGGTAGGCGTGGGGGAGGGGAACTACACGGAGCATCGGGTGCTGGAATGCGGTGAATGTGTGCAGCTGTGAACCCCAGAAGAACAGAGCGGGGGTTGCGGGGGATGGAGGGGTGGGGGGTGGGGTTGGTGAGGAGTAGCATGAGAGCGGCGGGGCCCAGGCCTGGCTCAGTTCGGGCTGTGACCGGTATCTCTGAGGAGCAGCAGATGGCGTTCCTGGCCTGCCCAGCCCAAAGATCTTCCCCCTCCCCCTCCTCAGGACGTCAGGGAAGAGGGCTGCTGCTGCCAGAAGTCTTTTTTTTTTAAAATAAATTTATTTTATTTATTTATTTTTGGCTGCATCGGGTCATCGTTGCTGCACGCGGGCTTTCTCTAGTTGCAGTGAACGGGGACTACTCTTCGTTGCGGTGCGTGGGCTTCTCATTGCGGTGGCTTCTCTTGTTGTAGAGCACGGTGTCTAGGCGCACGGGCTTCAGTAGTTGTGGCTCGCGGGATCAGCAGTTGTGGCACGCGGTCTCTAGAGTGCAGGCTCAGTAATTGTGGCGCTCGGGCTTGATTGCTCTGCAGCATATGGGACCCTCCTGGACTAGGGCTCAAACCCGTGTCCCCTGCATTGGCAGGCAGATTCTTAACCACTGTGCCACCAGGAAAGTCCCCAGAAGTCTTAGAACTGGCAGGAACTTCTGAAGGTGGGCCATGCTCACGGCCCATCCTGTGCATGGAGACTGTTCTAATGACCTTCCTGATCGCTAGTTTTTGGAGCCTTGTATACCTGCCAAGACAGAGTACTCACTACCTCTCAGAGTAGCCACTGCCATCTGCGGCCAGTTCCAACTGTTCCAAAGTCCTTCCTTGCACAGAGCTGACAACTGGCGTCTCATACCCCCTACCCTCACCCTGCTGGCCCCAACTCTACCCTTTGGGGGCTCCTCAGAAACAGCCTGTTCCCTGGGCCTGTAGCAGCCCCTCTGGGAGGTGACTGTCCCTACATCTGGTCCCTTACTTTATAAACATCATCCCAGCCACCTTTATTGAACGAACCCCCAGTACAAAGTCAGGAAGAGCTCATTTAATCTTCACAACCTGGCACCTGGCCCTGGGCCAGTGTTGTGTGTGGCACACACAGGCACTCACTTTACCCTTGGATGATAAATGAATGAACGAATGAATGAACCCCATGTGGTCACTATTCCCATATTACAGTTGGGAAACTGAGGCTCAGAGAGGTAAACTCACTCATCTAGAGTCACCCAGCTCACAACTGGCAGAATTGAGATCTGAACCCAGGTATCTGCCCAACCCAGAGCCAGAAGAACTCTTCAACTCCAAGCTGTGCTGCCTCAACTGGAACCAGCTCCCCACCTACTGGGTCCCATCAGCCCCTCTCCATCCATCTTCCCAAGGTGCCCAAGGGTCAGAATTCCTCAAGGTTTGGCACTGGGATTCCCAGAGGCTGGGACCTCAGAATTCCTAGGAATTTTTGAATCTCAGAGAGTTGGAAAGTTTCCCTCCCTCTCCAAATCTCTGCCAAAGGGCAGCTGGCCTGGCCTTACATACCCTTTAGGGACGGGGCTCTCACTCCCTTTCAGGGAACACCTAATGCAGCTCTGCCTAATGAGCTGAACTTTGACCTCTGGACCTCCTCTCAAGGCCCCTGAAGGACCAGTCCAGGTTCCTCCGACACCCCCAAATCATGGCTGGTGCCCGAGTCTGTTCCACCGGCCCACCCGGCACTCACCCCTACTGGCTCCATGAGTCCTGGTTTCAGTTCCCTTTTCCTTGGGGGAATTGTTCCAGTTTCAGCTCAATGATTTCCCATCTCCTGAGGGCAGGCCCTGCACTGGGTGTGGGGACATGGGGGCTGAGGGCAAAGACTTTCCGCCTGCCAGTGCTAGCAAATAACCTCCCCTCTCTGGGCCTCGGTTTCCCAACTAGGAAGTGGAACTATTGACAGCACCTACTTCATGGGGTCACTGAGAGGATGAGATGAGATAACCCCTGTAAAGCACTTGGCATGGGTAAGGGCTAAATAAATATTTACCCCCTTCTTCTCCCAAAACAGGTGGGTGGGGGTGACTGGGAGGTGAGTGGGAAACACATTCATTGATTCAACAAATTTGTATTGAGCCACTGCTACGCACCAGGCCCTGGGCTAGTGCTGGGGACACAGCAGTGAACAAGACGACACAAACCGTTGCCCTCCTGGGGCTCATGTGCTAGTGGTGGGAGACCCCAGCTGGGTAAGTGAAATGCATCGTATGTCAGGTGGGGATAAAGGCACCAGAGAAACGCACAATGACCACCTTTGGGAAAAGGAATGTGGGGCAGGGGTAGGGGGGTCTGCATCCTACAGTGAGGAAGAGTCTCAGAGAGCTGGGGACACCTGCCTGAGGTCACACAGCTGGTGGGGAAGCAGCACTAGGCCAGGTCTGCCCACCCCAGTGACAGGGCCCAAAGGGGGCCACGCCTGATCTGAGTTCCCGTTGCCCACCCGTGGAGACATCAAAGCCCAGTGGACTCGGATGACCTCTGTCCCCCTCTGTGGACCGGCTTGAGGGCGGGGGTGATGGGTCCTGGGAGAGCCAGTGAACCGAGTCGTTAGCGGGGAGGGTATTAATGGTCACGCAGATGCGACCCATCTACCCAGACCCTCCGACAAGCCGGGTCGTACCCCGCATCCCCACGCGGGGTCCTTCCCCTCCAAGCCCTGCGACGGCCCCGTCCCCAGAGCAAGCCTCCGCGAGGCCGGCCACCCGTCTCGGGTCGCACGTACCCCCCCCCCGCCCCCCGCCTCACCCCGCGGCGGGCGGGCGGGCGCGTGTGGGGTGCGGGGGCACCCGGGCGGCCCGGGCTGCGGGGGGAGCTCAGCGTCCAGCCCCGCCCCTCCCCGCCCCGCCTCCCGCGCTGGGGGCGGCCTGGCGGCGGCGCACGCTTCCTGCAGGCGCGGCGGCCGTGGGCGCGGAGCTGCCGGGCGGAGCCGGGCCGCCGAGCCGGAGCCCCGACCGAGAGCGCGCCGGGCCAGCCGCCGGGCCGCGCCGCCGTCGCCGCCGCCTCGGGAACAAAGGCGCCCGCCCGCCGCCGCCGCCGCCGCCGCCATGAAGCCCGGTCCGCCGCACCGCGCCGGGGCCGCCCACGGGGCTGGAGCTGGGGCCGGGGCCGCGGCCGGGCCAGGGGCCCGCGGGCTGCTCCTGCCGCCCCTGCTGCTGCTGCTGCTGGCGGGGCGCGCCGCGGGGGTGAGTGCTTCCCGCTCCCGCGCCCCGGCTTGCGCGCCGCGCCGGCCCTGGGGGGGGCGGGGGTTCAGTGCCTGGCCGCCCGCGCCTCCCGGGGGCTCGTTTCCCCGGGGGCTCGTTTCCCCGGGGGCGGGACCCTTCCCCGTGGGCGGCCTGGGGTCCGGGCTGGGGTCCGGGCGCGGGGCCGCGCTGGGCGTGTCTCGGGTCTGAGCAGACGTGGCTTTGCTTCGTGGGTGTGCCCGGACCGCGGCCACTTTTAGGGAATCGGGTCGCCTCCCCCTGCTGGGGGAGGGTGTGCGTTAGGTTCCTCCCTCCGAGGGTCGCGGGCGGGAGGGCAGGGGGGCCCGGGGAGGGGGAGGGGTGAAGGGGACCTGTGTGAAGGTGACCTGAGGGGGTGGGTGAGTGTGACCGCGTGTGTGTCCACCTCCGTGGAGGGTGCTGGGACCTGTGGGGTGTGCACGGGTGAAGGATGAGGCGTGAGGACCAGTCCGTCCCCATGGATGGGGGCCATCGTGCCCTACCTGCGTGTGGTCGTGTCAGGGTGACCCATTGTGCACGGTGTGTGCCGGAGACGGGCTGGGGACTGTTGGCCATGCTGTGTGTGCCTACAAGGGGTGAGTGTGTTGAGGGGGAGACCTCTGTGGTGGGTGTGTGCTCCAACCCATGGGAGTGTGTGTGCGTGTGTGTGCAGGCGTGTGTTGGCAGGTGCATGGGTTACCCCGTGCGTGGAGCATGCACCCCTGAGTGGGGCCGAGTGTGCAGGTAGCGGTGAGTACGTATGTATGTATGAGGTGACCCCTGGGTGTTCCTTTGAGTGACCGCAGCAGCCGTGGGGTTGAGCTCAGTCCCAGCTCCATCAGAGGGAGCAGGAGGAAAGGCCACCTCCTCCCCTTTGAGGGACCCAGGTCCCAAGTGAGTTCCCTATGGGCACGTGTCTGGAGCCTGGCCTGGGCATGAACTGGGGGGTTTCTAGGCCTGATCCCCTTGGTTGGTTCTAGGAGCTATGCCTGTCCCCCGTTCCCCAGGCTGAGAGGGACCCAGGCCTCTCAGGCAACCCCCCCCCCCCCGGGTGCCTACTCCTCCACTGCAAGTCTCTTTGGGCCTCAGTTGGCCAGTCTGTGAAATGGGAGGAGGTCAGGCAGGGGCTCAGAGGTTGCATCTTGGACAGGCAGGCTACTCCTCAGCCTTTCCCATCTGGGGACTATGAGCTGGGGTGGGGGGGAGTGTTGAATGCCAGGCTGAGTATGGGGCCCGGTGGGCTGGGTGCCTCATCCCCAGTTATTCCCCAGGTGGGGTGAGGAAAAGAGGTCCCTGGGAGGGACAGGGACCCAGCCCATCCTAGCAACTGGGTTACTTTCTCAGCTACACTTCTGGAAGACCATCTTTGAAATCAAAGATGTGGAAATCACACAGCCTTGGGTTCAAATCCTGATCCCTCCCCTGATTCGTGGTGTGACCTTGGACAAGTTATCTCACCTCTCTGAGCCTCCATTTCCCCCTCTGTGGAACGGGGCTAATAACACCCTCCTGAGAGATTAAATGAGAGGATGTGTGTGCTCACCCACAGGAAGAGCTCAGTCAATGTTTGGTGTGTGATGAATGAAAGGGACACCGGACAGCATGCTTTAGACATGGCAGCCCAGCAGGATCCTGAGCTGGGTGACCCCTGGGCAAGTCACGTCCCTTGCCGAACAACTTTTCCTCATCCATAGAACAAGGCTCGTAATCCGTGCCCCATGAGGTGGTGGAAAGAATTAAATGAGCGCACGGAGGTGAAAGGCCCCGATAAGGCAGGGTGCCCCTGGATCTGAGGCTGAGGTAGAGTGGGTGTGGCTCAGACCCAGTGCTGGGTGGCAGATAAATCACACCCCCGGGGTCTGGGCCTGGAGGCTCAGATGGTGGGCTTGACTTGGAGGAGAGGAGGGGTGGGGCTCCGGATGAGGTAGGGGGGCATCCCTCTCCAGGCTTCACACCTTTCCAGGGGCCCGGCTGCGGAGCAGGGACATCACCTCATCTGGCCTGGGAGGCAAAGGGTTAATGGGTGGTGACCAGTGGCCAGGGTGGCACACCAGAGGAAGAGGGTGATGCCTGCAGCAGGAGGGACTGAGATTAGACCAGAAGAGCCCCAACCAGGGTGGCTCCAGGAGTGGCCTCCGTGGCGGGGGCCTCCCAGGACATCACTGGGATGGGCAGTGGCTGGCTCAGGGTAGGGGAAGGGCAGGATGACACCTAGGTGCCCACCAGCTTGAAAAGGAGTGTGTGTGTGTGTGTGTGTGTGTGTGTGTGTGTGTGTGTGGAGCAGCTTCCAGGATGGCCTCAGGAGGAGTAGTGGGGCTCATTCGCGCTGTAGATGGTGAGTTGGGGTGTGTGCATGTGTGTCCTGGCATCTGCTCTGGGAGTCCTCTCCTGAGATACCAGCTAGTTATGACTCTGAGAGACATCTGCCTTCAGGGCCGCTTCAGTTGCTGTACTTAAGTCACTACCCAGAAAGACCCAGAGTGTGGGGATCCTGGAAATTTCAGCTTGAAAAGTGTTCTTTAGATACTCAGGGCTGAAAGGGATTTAGGTGTCACTTAGCCTTGTTTGAATTCCCAGTGTTGGGAGTTCACTGTTTTGTGGCTGTGTGACCTTGAGAAAGTTACTTAACCTCTCTGTGCTTTCATTTCCACCTCTGTAAAATGGGGAGAATAGGAGAATGAGCGGGGTTAACATATAAAGCTCTTAGCACAGTGCCTGGCGCATAGTTAACACTCAGCAAATGTTCACTTGTTCTTTTACAAGGTTGCCATTCTGTGTTTGGGAATGTGGTAGGGATGGGGGGTGGTAGGGTGAGGGACCATGGGAAGGGGAAATCAATCAGGGAATTCTTTTGAATCCCCAGCCCCATGCCTGGTAGTTCCTGCTCCCTCCCCACCCCCACGATTTCAGGTATCCAGGAGCTCCCTACTCCTCTTCCCTCCAGCTCCTCTGGTTGACTGTGAACATTGGGTTGCCAGGGCAAGATTGTTCTCACTTTAAAAATTAAACGTTGGGGACCCCTAGACTGTTCCAGGCCAGGCCCTGACACAGGGATACCATAGGGATCTGTTGCTGTTAGCACCCAAGGTGGCAGGGGCTCCAGGGACAGAAACTTTGGGTAAGGGATTTCTGTTTCAACGTCCTCATTGTAAAATGGGGACAATAACAGTGCCAGCCTCACAGGGGTGTTGTGATGAGAAAATAATCTCCTTGGGGAGACTGAGCACAGCTTGCCAGTGAGCTCTCAGGAGATGGGGCCTTTCCAGGAGGGAGCCCGGAGGGCAAGGGAGGGCTTCCTGGAGGAGGAGGTTTTTAAGCTAAGCTATAAAAATGGTTGCCATGTGACACTGAGCAAGCTGTAGCCTGCCCTGACCCTCAGCTTTCTTACCTGTCAACTGGGGACAAATACTTGATGTATACAATTATTATTAGGGGTGTTATTGGTCGGGGGGGGGTGTCACACCATTCTCATGTCCGAGTTGGAATTGGAACCTGGTGCTTTCTGCTCCCTGGGGAGCAGCACAGTGCCCCCAGCTACAAATTCAGTGTGTTTCTTATTCCCTCATATTGGGGATTGGTGTGGGGTTGACCTCTGCTGGAGAAAATGCAGTGTGGCCTTTTGAAACCAAATGGCTGCTCCTACCCCATGGATTGGGGCATGGGGTCCTGGGAGGCCCCAGGGCAGCGCTGGGGCAGGGACAGCTTTGGGCTTGACATCTGGAAAATGCTGGGGCAGAAGTGGGGTGGATGGGAGGGGCATCGTGGAGAGGAGAGAGTCAAGACAGAGCTTCCCCTAGAAGCCAGGTCTTGCTGCAGGCCTCCCTCCTGCCCCTCCCATTGGAGCTGGGACCATGCCCCAGAGCTGCTTGCGGGGAGAGGGATGGGTTGTTCTAGAAGGGGCTGTAATAGGATTCCTGAAGGCTGGAGCAAACTGAGACAGCTGGGGATGGGAGGTGGTGAGCGTGGCAGTGGCTGAGGCCATGATTTGGGAGGCAGCTTCCGCACCTCTGAGGGCTTAATAATACAAAGAGCAGCTAATGCATACTGAGAGCCCTGCCCACTGAGCACTTTATATGCATTGGCTCATTTAATCCTCATGATAATCTTTGGAGGTAGGAATTGTTAGAACTCCCATTTTACAGATGAAGAAAACTGAGGCACAGAGAGGTTAAGTGATTTGCTCAACGTCACACAGTTGGCAAGTGGCAGAGCTGGATTGAGCCAGGGCCTGGCAGGCTAATAGAACTGGGCCGCAGTCCTAATTTTACCCTCTCTTGCTGTGTGATCTTGGGCAAGGTACTTACCTCTCTGGGCCCTCCTTACCCGCAAATTATGCCCACATTACCTGTATCATGAATGCCTGCTCATTGCCAGGCTCTGGGCCGGGCATGTCTCCTATCTTTTTTCATTTAATTCTCACTGTAGCCTTGGAGGCATGTTGCATGGGGCGGGGGACGGGTCTGGCCCTGGAGCCCTTGCTCCTCCACTGCCTCACAAGGCTCTGTGATCTGTAAACGAGCTATTCTGAAGGTCATGGGTGACGGGTCAAGGGAGAGCTTTATAAACTGTGCCGGGAGTCAACAAGATTGGGGGGGTGCGGGGGCTTGTGTCTGGATCATGTGATCATGGCACAGGACAGGGGAAATGTTTAGAACCTCAGAATGAGAGGGGTCCAAAAAAGCCACCATTCCCCCTGTACACACACTGGATGCCCCCAGTGTGTGGCTCACTCTGCATAGGCGACCAGGCCTGCCTTTAATCCCCTCTGACCCTTAGAAAGTTGTGTGGAGCCCAAATGTACATCCCTACCACCCCATCCCTGAGTCTTGGCCCCCTTGTACCTAAGGTTCTCTCTGGCCTGAGTGACTGAGCCTCAGAGCGGGAGAGTGACTTGGAGGTCACACAGCAGTCAGGAGAAGTATCAGAATACTTTCTTGATAGACCATGAGTGCCTTAGGGAGGCTTGTTCTTTGCTGAACCCCCAA